GGCACTCCTTACTTAAAATATGCCAGTATATAATACACATATAGGTATGTTATTGTGGTTCAACCAGACTTTGAAAATATTGAAAACTGACTCAAATGTTGAATGCCACCACGTTTGATAGGCTTGGTACAGGTGGTGCAAATTACAATAGCATTCCGTTTTTCGAAATCAACCAAGTGTGAAAGCAAGTGGGTCCAAACTGATCAGAACAACTTATAATGTAAGTACAGTACTTTATACCAATATTGCTCATAATCAGATTTAATATTCCCTACTTTTTGCTGGGTCTTTTTTCCCCAAATTGTTTTCTTTATTACTTATTTATTTGTAGAGTAAAATAATCACCTTTGGCAACCCCAAAGCCCATTAGCACTGCTTGACAAGATTTAATGTACTGTAGTATGTCACTACTAAACACTTTTGTAATATGGTGAGGTGATCTACATTATTCATAGCATTGTTAAGATTGTCCTATAAATGTGATGCAATAGGAAATTATAGCTTCCAGGGTCAAAGGTAGAATGACTAGTCAACAAACGCTATGCACCATAAAATGTGATTGCCTCGGGTAATACTCACTACATCTGCTTGCAAAAAAAGTTTCCTCATCAATCTTGTTGAATAAAGTACTCAGGTCATCTTTTAATCTATTATTTGCTTATTCTATGAGCAAACAGGTCACACCTTAAAAGAATATTTTCTGATAAGATTTTACAATTATTTTGTACACCAATAATTGTGAGAAAAGTGTCCCCTCACCATGCCCAGTGACCACTATTCATGCATGAGCCTTGACAGTGATTGCTGGCAAACTACTTGACTGGTATGAGGGTGGGGTGAAAAAGAAAAAGGAGAAGGAAATGACAAATGAAACCAATCCTATCCACATGTATGCACCTTCCAGGAAGGGTCTCTGAATAAGTCAGTTTTTAATCTTCCCTAGCCCAGCAGTGCTGAAACCAATTGTGGTGTCCAATTGCTACCAGAACTGATAGCTGATATGCAGAACTGATATGCAAAGTCAGCATAAGCCAATATTCAATAAGTAATTTTCCGACCTAAATGACCGAGTTTTGCATGATTGGGAGAAATCCTAAACAAGTAGCTTTAACTGAATATATACTTTTTTTAAAAATTACTTATTTTCTAAGTTTCACAAGAGCTATAAAACTGGTTTAATAATACACATTCACAATTCTAAAAAGAACACAAAATATGCTGAAGATAAATGCATAACTCAACATTACTTAAGATTTAAAACAATGCGCCTACTTCTGTACATCGGTATATAATTCTGAAGACAAGTCTATAAAGTGTCACTGCTGAAAGGACAATCATTTCAGTACTGAAAATACACGCACAATTAATTTTCAGTTAATGAATTAATGTTGATGCAGCTCACTCTTGCTTTCTAGTTAAATGAAAGCAAGATAAAGAAAATCTACACACGGATCACTATATATGCAAAACATGTGCAGAAATTATGTTACAATATTCACTCAGCTGTCCCCTAAGAAACGTTCAAAAAACGTTCAATACAGGCATGGATGAGTCAGAACTATCATCTTGAGATGAAAGCTACTATAATGGCTATAGACAATTAAAACATTTCCTGCACTAAAAAAATGTTTCTAAAAATGAACAGGTATCGGTTTTGAAATTACTGCCCCTCGGAACATCAGCATTACCAACTTCCTGTAAACTGACAATAAAATTAAGCAAGTGAACGACATGCATGTTCTTGATTTTCCATATAATATTCCAGTACCATTCTCTCCATTCTTTAAAATAGATTTCTTAACAGCAAATAAAAAAAAGTCTTAACTCCAGAATATTCACAAGAGCACACAAGCAATTGCTAAGAAAATATGGCCTGCACTAAATTGGCAATGTGCCATGACACAAAAAAAAGACAAAGTCATAGGGATACTTTTACTTCCACTTGCGTACATTTTAAAAATAAAAAAAATCAATAAATACCTCCTTCTATAATAATAATCCTTGCATTTGATATAGCGCTTCTCACGTCTTCTAGACGTCTCAAAGCGTTTCACAGAATATACTGTAAAGTGAATTGACTGTATACTTGTGGGCGAAACGCACAACTAACTAAATAACTAACTAACTAACGAATTGGTTTTCTTGGACTGCCAGAACAGAAGACGTCCAAGTGGCACATTCTGCACACACAAAAAAAAAACCATTCACGCTTCTGAAACCACAGGATATGGCTTCTGAAGGGTCTGTTAAAATTGTTACAGAAGAGTCAATTATTCTAGCCAACCCCCCCACCCCCAAACACACACACACACACACAAAAAAAGTCACAATAAGGTCAAGCTTTCTTTCCTCTGCCTTTTGTTTTACATAAATGCGGATCCGTCGCTTTTGATGTAGATCTTAATCTGTAGTGTACTGTATACCATGAGAGAGAGAGAGAGAGAGAGTGTGTGTGTTGTGAGACAGAGGACTGTGAATGGACAACAGGTATTTTATGAATGGGGGAGGAGATCACGTGACTGCTGCACCTCCCTGGATAATATTTCGCACCGAAGAGAGAGAGCGAGAGAGAGAGAGAGAGCACACACACCACATACACACACACACACACACACCAACCACTGGCAGCCGAGTCCAGTCTACCTTCCCTCTCACAGTACATTCTGCCAGTCCAAGAATTTAGGAAATCTTTTAATTGCATTCAGCAACGGATGTGCGTGTGTGTGTGTGTGTGTGTGGTTCTGTATTGCCTTAAGGAGAGGGAAAGGAGGAGGGGGTGGGGAGAGAGAGAGAGAGAGGGAAGGAAGGAAGGAGGGAGGGGGTTCCTTCTTATCCCAGGCTAAGATAATGTATAAATATATATTTTTGTGAATGGAAATGCGGTATGCAAATGAGAATGATTGAGAAAAAAAATATATAACATGGCGGCGGCTGCCTGTGGGTCACTGGTTATTTTGGCATCGGTGCAATGAGAGGAAACCTTACTAGTTTACCCCCTCCCTCCCACCACCACCACCACCCCCCCCCTACCACCACTCCCCTCCCTCCCTCCACTCCCCACCACATACACACACACAATTCAACACAATAAAACCACACGAAACGTTCTCAGCACAAGGTCCAGGGACCGAAACGTAAACTAAAGAGACAAGCGCCTGGCTTTATAGAGGTTAACAGACCGGCTTCTTTCTTTTCTTTCTTCTTTTCTTTCTTCTTTTGCAGTGAGTGACACTGCAAAGGCCGACTACCTCAACTTACATTGTGTGTGTAAATGTGTGTGTGTGTGTGTAAAAGAAATAATCCTTCCAACACTCGTTGAATACAAGTACCACATGTTGGGGGGGGAAGGGGGAAAAAAGGGCAAAACAACAACATTTGAGCCATATCTCTATATGTATATATTCTAACTATTCTTCTCGTTGTAAACCAACCCCTCCCCACACTCACACACACACACAAAGAAGCTTTTCCTAACAACGTTCAGAAAAAAAGATAACCAAAGACATATTTGTTTTGGTTTCCTCCCCCACCACCATAATTCTAGTTTTGTTGTTTTTCCTCTTTAAAAAAAAACCCCAAAATTGCCTGGGGAGGGGCCCCCAAAAGAGACCCCCAAAAAAACCAATTTTTTTTTTAAAAAAGGCAATAATAATAAGGGAAGGAAAGGAAGGAGGGAAAGAGAAAAAAAAATGAAATCAACCTTTTAATTTTTTTTAAAAAAACACGCACGTGTAGGTGGAAGAACAACACAACACCACCAAAGAAAAAGGTTGGGAGAACAACTAAAACAAATGCAACAAATATACACACACATATATATATATATATAAAAATCAATCAATAAATTAGGCTCGAAAACAGCGAGGGGGAGAAAAGAGGAAGGTACAGCAGAGGGTGTCTACTACATAGCTCTACAGGGAGGCCCTGCACCTCTCCAGTCAGTCAGTCAGTCAGTGTGTGTGTGTGTGTGTGTGGAAAGGTTTTCACACCAGAGGGTCACAAAATAAAACACTTGGCAAACCTAAACAGAACAATCTAACCCTCCTCTCTTTCTTTCTTTCTTTCCTTCCTTCCTTCTTTCTTTCCTCCCTTAAAAGGGATGCAACCATTTAACAAATCATCATCATAATCATTATTTTGAAAAAAAAACCCAAACAAGCACAAAATGTACTTCGCCTTCCCCCCCCCCCCCCCTTCCCACCCCAAAAAAAAACCACACTGGAGGATTTCCCCATGAGGATTTTTTTTTCTTGTTTGGCGTGTTAAAAGTTTTATATACATATATATATATAAATAAAAAAAACAGCAGAGCAGAAAGAAACAGCAGCAGCAATCCACAGGCTGGGAGAGAGGGAGGGAGGGAGGGAGGGAGGAGAGAGAGAGAGAGAGGGAGAGAATGTGTGGGGAGAAGGAAGAGGGAGAGGGAGAGGGGGGGTTAATGAAAGTCAAATTCCTCAGGTCTGTCTCCCTGATCAGTCAGTGAAGTGGCCGCCACACAAAATAAAGATAACTCTCGATAAAATATAGTAAAACAAAATAAAAATAACCAAATAAAGACAGAAGAGGGGAGGTGTGGGGGGTGTGTGTGTGGGAGGGGGGAGGGGGGGTGTGCACTCTCTCTCTGTGTGTGTGTGTGTGTGCAATGATTTAAAGGGAGAAGAACAGCCCTGGTTTTAAGGCACCTTTTAAACAACCCCCAGTGAGGGAGAGGGAGAGAGAGAGAGAGAGGGGAGGAAGGGAGTGGAGTGGGGGGGGGGGAGCCGTTTGCAGTGGTCGCTGCTGAGGGTCTGACAGCGTCTCTATCCTTTCTTGACAGACACCGAGTGAGGGGTGAGGGGTGAGGGGGGTGAGGGGGAGACCCTACCACCGCCACCCGGGCCACAGCACCACAACTTCGGCTGCTTCACCCTCTCACCCTCCCTCAGCCTCTCTCCTTCCCTCTCCCTCTCCCTCTCACCCCCCCACCCCCTCCCCTCCCGCCCTCTCCCCGGGTTTCTTACTCGTTCGGGTTCGCCGCCTCTTCGCTCATCTTTCACCGAGTTGCGACCAGGACCAGGGCCATGATGGTGGTGGTGGTGGTGGTGATGATGGCGACGGTGGCGACGATAACGATCCTCATCAGCATCTTCACGTCGTGGCGCTGGAGGAGGAGGAGGAGGAGGAGGCGGCGGCGGCGGCTGTTCCCCGCCGTCCTGACAGCAGTTCGGCCGCTCGCATCGACATCGAGATCACACACCGGCCTGAGGGGGAGGGGGAGGGGAGGGGGGAGGGGGGGAGAGGCCTGGGCCGGAGGCGGAGCCGCAGCCGCCTTTTTTGGGGGTTGGTGGAGGATTGGGTAGGAAGTGGAGGAGGGAGGGAGGGGAGAGAGGGAGGGTGTGGAGAGAGAGATAGAGAGAGAGAGAGATAGAGAGAGAGATAAGAAAGTCAGGGCCCGAGAGGGAAAGTCACTCACTGCCTGTGGGCTGAGGCTCTCTCTCTCTCTCTCTGTGTGTGTGTGTGTCTCTCTCTCTCTGTGTGACTCTACTCCTCTCTTTACTCCTCTCTTTTATTTGATTTCAATTGATTTCCGACCCCCAGGTTTTGCTCGTCACTCTCCCGGTTGCATCGGAAAAGTTCGCAGAGGGCATTACCCACAAAAATAAAGAGAGAGAAGAGCGCAGAGGGGGAAAAAAAAACTCTCGGTGCGACTGCGAGCGGGAGCGTGTTTTACATATATATATATATATACACACACACACACGCATACAATATACACACACGCACAACAGCACTGTCTTTTATTTATTGATCCATTCATTATTAAAGGGAATTGGGTGGAAATAATTCCTCTCCCCTCCGGGGCTGTGTCACGTCGGCGCAGTGATAACCAGCGCTGCAGAAGGCGATCCCGGGGTTTGCAACCAATTCACTCACTCACTCACACACACAGAGAGAGAGAGAGAAAAAAAAGTGAATGAACTTAGTGTTTCGCCTATTAATGCAATGCAACAGCAGTCAGTTTCAGAGAACAAACCCCACTGACTTTTTTTTGTTTCACCAGAGGCGTGTGTTCTTCCTCCCTTTTGGCCTGGATCGACTTCCTTGCAAATGAATGGGTTTTGAAACACCATGGCACGACTTTCCTTTTCTTTTCTTTCCTTTTCTTTTTTCGTCTTGGCTTTTGATAATAATCCTTGCATTTGATATCCCTTTTGGAGAGAGGCTGGATTTTGAGGCGTTGCTCGGATTCGAAGCTCACCCGGTGACGGGAAATGTTGAAGGTTTAAAGGGAAGATCTCAGATACAGGAGTTCAAAATTCTGTTTTGTTAAAAAAAAATATATATATATATATAATGTGTGTGTTTGAAAGAAATATTCACGTTTCTAACTGCCAATGAGGGCATAAAACAAAGGACATTTCGATACCTTGTTTTACGCTCCTCTGCAGGGAAATACTTTTGACAATAACTCATTTCGCACCAGCAACATTGTTCAAAGTGAAAATGTTAACTCAAATCTCTTTCACACAACCCAAGAAACACAACAGAAAGTACTGTTTTGTGTGAATAGGTCCTTGGGCCACATCCTTCACGAGAACCACTGAGGTTATGAATTAAATTATACAGAACATCACAGCAGGGAAACAGGCCATTCAGCCTAACCAGTCTTCTCCTGTCAGTTCCACATGAGACCCCCACTCCACCCAATCTCATCTCCCACTCCTTTCTGTTTCTCCCTCATTCAATCGAGTTTGAAATGTTTAAATTGCTTTACCCTGGATATCAATAATTTATGTATTTCAAGGTTATTTAAAATAATAATATAATCCTTGGCTATATATATATACTGTATGTAGCACCTTATCGCATGGTCAAGACCCCTCCAAAGCACTTCACAGGAATTTAATGTGAAGTGTACTGATTGTATTTTTTAGGCAAATGTGGCACACAGCAATATCCCACAAACAGCAACGGTGTCCAACCAATGTGTATTTGTCATGAATATCCACAAAATAAGTCCTGTCACCATGATCATCATGCTCATTAGTTCCATGTTGGCTGATTCCCTTTCCTCTGACCCCACCACCAAACAAAGCACTTTAGCATGATCGTTAGGAGACTGTTCCTACTACATTAATGTAATATTTTCATTTCCCACACCAGCCCCTGCAGCCTTCTAAGTACAATTTACTGCAGCACTCCATGTAGTTTTATGCTCTGCAGTTGTGACCACTAGAAGCAGGATTGGAACTGCCCAAATTATTTTTTTAAAAGAGAGAACTCTCACTTCTGCTTTGTGTCTCCCCACTTCTTTTACTATTCAGGAGTCCTGTAGCTTGGTTAGGAGTCCGGTAGCTCAGTGGTTAGAGCACTCGCCTAGCAAGCAAGAGACCTGGGTTCGATTCCTGGCAGTGCGAAACTTTGGGCAAGTTTCTAGTTAGGAGCCCTGTAGCTCAGTGGTTAGAGCACTTGCCTCACAAACGAGAGACCTGGGTTCGATTCCCGGCAAGTTTCCTTACTCCACATGCCTGATAATAATCCCTCAAGAAAAAAAACAATAATAAATTGGTCACTTCAATCCAAGACTGCTGTGGAACACTGCTGTGCGTAATTGGCTGCCGCGTTTCACCCACAAATACACAGTTAATTCACTTTACAGTCGCTTTGAGACATCTAGAAGATGTGAAAAGTGCTATATCAAATGCAAGATTATTATTATTCCCAATTTCTTCCACTCTGTGTGAAAACTTCTCACCTCCATTCAAGTCCCACTCCGAACAAACTAACTAACGTTTTGAACTCACAGGAGTGTAACTCAATTCCACATCTGTCCATTGCTCCACTGGGCCACCTTGAAATGGATTTTTAAATGACACTAATCTTTTTGGCAAGCATAGCACAGTAAGTTTTAAGTATGTTCTATTCTGTGTATCTGGCAGCTCAAATGTGATTAAGTTGCAGAAAAGTAACAAAGCTTCAGTCCTCGAAGCTTTATTTGTCTAACATAGTTTTAACAATCACATGACCAATTTGAAGTTTCATTCCATTTCCTGTTTCCAAGTCCCTGATCTTGCTTCCAAAGACAGTTCTCAAGGGTAATAATCATACAAGTTCTGCCCAGAGCTTTAATGTAGGCTTTGACTAAAAATTCTATGTCAAGGAATCAAGTTTCTTAAAGCTCTACCAAAACGACCAATTTAAAGGAAACAATCAGCAATATTTTAAAAATAAATACCTTAACGTAATTTAAATGGAATTCAGTTATTTTCGGTACATTATAGTGTTTTATACTCATAATTATGTAGTAAACATGTTGGTGTTCCGTCTCCATTTTTGTAAAGAACAATCATAATCGTGGAGTCCTGAAGCTCAGTGGTTAGCGCACTTGCCTCGCAAGCGAGAAACCTGTGTCCGATTCCTAGCGGGGCGAAATGTTGGGCAAGTTTCCTTACTCCACATGCCTCTGTTTACCGGTTGTTAGTCGATTAGCGGATCATTTTTCCAGGGGTAATAATTGATTTAAAAAAATAATAAATTGGTTACTTCAGTCCACGACTGTTTGTGAGACACTGCTGTGCACAATTGGCTTCCACATTTCGCCCACAAAATATACAGTCAATTCAGTTTACAGTATATTCTGTGAAACTCTTTGAGACATCTTGAAGACGTGATAAAGCACTATATCAAATGCAAGGATGATTATTATTATAAATCAGGAACGAGGCAGGCAAAATCCTGTCTCATTATTAAAATTGAATGATGCATTTTAAATATAATTTAGTTAGAGTTTGTTTTAGAATCATAGTATCGTATCTTAGCCAACCATCCTCCAAATAAAATTGATTGCTCATTCCATGGTTGTTTGTGGTACACCAATGTGCCCAAATTTGTTGCCGTGTTCGTCCACAAAATACACAGTCACACCACTCTACAATATTGACGTCTCGACAATATGCTAAGACATTATATCAAATGCAAGGATTATTATCATAGAAAGTTTCAGAACAATAACAGGCCTTTTGGTCCATCATGTCTGTACTGGTCTTATCAGTGCTGTTCACTGACTACTCAGTTAATGTGCCTAATGGCTTTAGAACTGAATCAAAATGGTCACAGATTCAATAGCTGGCCTTCACTGAATAATCTGATCTCTGATACCTGAGAATAAAGTTTGGCAAGAGTCCCTGCTCTCGATCAGTATTCAGCGGAAGTGTATATGTAAGGTTGTTGTGTGAAGATAGAATTAGGCTTGGCTCTAGTTATCTATATTCGAATAATCCATTTCAATGCCCTCAAGGAAAGGTCAACTTGAGGGCTATCACTATCAGCTATCATGGAACCATATCCCATCTGAGACACTTGCCTTTAGAAGAGAAGGGAAAGGGGAGAAAAATTGATGAACGGAAATAAAAGCTGTTCTAGCTGGATGCAGGGTAGAAACGATTTTAATGGGATAGCTTATTAGATAGCTTCAAATATTTGAAATATTGATTATTTCAGGACAGAAGGCCTCTTCATTTCTGTGTCAATATATCTGTTTTCTAAATTGTTCCTTTTTATTAATCCCACTGTATATATCTTATTTTTTTAAATTCCCTTTTGAATGATTCTATTGATCCAGCCTCAATAGGCATTTGTGACAATAAATTCCATAACCTAACAACTCTGACCGAAAAAAACTCCATTTATAACAACTCCCCTGATTCCTCTGTTAATAATCCTGAGGCTATGCCCCCTTTTCACCAATTCTCCAACCATTTTTCCGTACTTATCTTCAGAATCGCAAATACATGTATTATATCTCCATTCAACCTTTGTTCCATGGAAGAAGTCTTAATTGACTAATAATAACCCCATAACATACCTATGAAGCAATAACGATACAATATCTGGCAAAGGTTGAGCAACTTCCAAAGCAAAGGCTGCTCATCATATTGCTCTATGGAATGGTAGGATACCTAATATTTGTGCTGATTTTAACGGTATTACCATGGAAAGCAAAGATCAGGCATTCCCTACTGGCAAAGAAGAAACATTTAAAGAAGAAGTCAACAAACGTCAGCCTTGTATAACGTTTAGAAATTGCCTGATCAATAGCATTGGAAAGAGTCCAGATGGGAGTCTCTATCTTTGCTTCTGAGCAATGGAAGATGCTTCACGAAAGTCTATAGGAGGAGAAATAAAGAAAACAAATTTCCTTCAAAATCCCAATCAGTCAAATTAGTAATCACAATGACACAAAGAATCTTACTGATG